AACAAAGTATATGTGAACTGCTGTATGGAAAGTGAATTTGCTCTGTAAATCTTCACCCATATCAAAATAAAATAAAATAAAAAAGCTTCTGCCATAGTTTCTGTTGACTGCAAACAAGTATTTGCCCCATTATATTTTTCTGCCTGTCCAAAGAATTGCCAAATCTTTGAGTAACAACTGGGATCTTAAAAGCTTGCAAGTGGACATCTAGATGCAATGATGGGTCTTTCCTTATCCAGAGCAAAGAAGAATGAAGAAAACCAAAGATGCATGGAAACAATTAGTCCAAGTGACTGGTATACCATGTGATCCTAAGCCTATATGACTGTGAGACCATAACTAGATGGTACCCAGCTACCACTGTCAATAACTCAGAGGGGGATTTATGTCAGAGATCCTGGATAGAATGGGAGAACAATGTGGAACAAAACTCAAAATCATTAATTAAAAAAAGAAAAAGGGACCAGGTTTGCTGGTCTATTAGAGCCTGATGGAACCACTGAGACTATGGCCCCTAGCTGCCCCTCAAGTCTGGAATTGAACCCACTCCTGTGGCTTTCAGCCAAACAAAAGACAGGCATATGAGCTGAACATTTACATTAACTAGATACACTCCTTGGAGAGATCAACCATGCAAGGGCCATGTATGCACAGGGAGACAGCTGGGGTGGGGGGCGGGCAGGAGTATACGGGAGGAAAGGACACAGGGAAGAGGTTACTTTGGGGAGGAAGTGGGAGGAGAGCTGTTGCATTGTGGGAAATTGCAGTCAATGTCATGAGTCAAAGTATATGTGAGCTGCTGTATGGAAAGTGATTTGCTCTGTAAACTTTAACCCAAATCAAAATAAAAATTAAAAAAAAAAAAAAAAGAATTGCCAAATCCTCACAGTTTCCTCACCTCCATCCTTCACCTCTGGTTTTCCTGACCTAGGCACAGTTAGGACATTGGCCCCTAGTAGACTAACAATGTTTCTCCTGCATAAAAGTACTAAGCCTTTGGTTTCCAAGGAAAGCTCTGTAGTTTTGAGGACCAGCTTGGGGACGTTTGTTTGCCAGCAGAGGGCACCAACACCTGAAAACAGAACAGAATCCTGTTTACTGGGAAAAATGTTGACTGGACGGACACTCTAGGAGGAGTAATGAATGGATAAACCGAAAAACCCATTGCCATTCCAGTTGATTCCAACTTCTAAAACAGGGGCCTTCTATGGGAACATTCTGGCTTCCAGATGGTTATGGCTAACTGGCTACTTTATTTCACCAGCAAACTAACAGAGATAAAACACCCTTTTAATTTTGATTTCTTCACAATCTTTCCTTATCCTTCATTGTTCCTCTCTGTTACTAGTCCAAAACTGATCCATGTTGATCTAGAGGGCAGTTCCAGCCAACATTTTCCACTGGAACAGGAAATTTGGACTCATGAAGGCTGACATGGCTTTTCTTTAACTTGAATTATTCTCAGGCCTCCTCTGTGTCATTTCAACAATTAGCAAGGTTTGGCAGGTGTTGTTATCTGCCAAACATAAGACGATGCCCATCTACAAAAGCTCTCTTCCACAGTACCTTTGGGACTGCAAGTATAGAGAGCTTCTCTACTGTCAGAGAATCCAGCCCTGATTTCTGGTGACTCCAGGTCCCCAGGGATTAAGTACCTAAATCTTCTCTCCCAGGATGTACCCTATTTCTGATGCATCCTGAGCAGAGCTGAGCTTCTATTTAAAGCTGCAGCCACTTGGGTTAAAAAGAGCCTAGGGCATGGGTCAGAGCAGCAAGAGAGACACCCAGAATCATGACAAAGATAGCATCTTCAGTTTTTCTAGGAGCTTCTTCATGGACTTGAAAATTAAACCCACGGGATTAGAGGAGAGGGGAGAATAAGCAGAAAGCAGCACCTTCTGGATATAGAAGTTAAAAAAAGTAAGGTCCCCAGAACCAGTGGTAGAATTAGTTGAATTTAATTTTTTATAAGTCATCTGGAATAGAGAGAGTATTGTAAAATCTCCAAACTGGTGGGAACAAACTATGGGAGGATCTTGAGGTACTATAAAACCAAAACCAAACCCATTGCCGTGGAGTTGGATCCAACCCATAGCGAGCCCTCCTTGGGTTTCTGAGGCAGTATCACTACGGAAGTAGATTGCCCACCCTTCCTTCCGAGGAGTGCTGATGGGTTTGAACCATCAGTCTTTTGGTTAGCAGTCACATGCCTTAAGCACTACACCAGCAGAGCTCCTTGAGGTACTATCATAAATGAATAAAAAGGGTAATATGAAATTCAAAATGGGTAAATGAGAAAATGCTCTTAAGTTATGATGACCAAAATACATTTATAGGAGAATGGGAACATTTAACACTCATGGGGGGAAAAAAATAGGGTTGGCTTCAAAGATATCTGATTATTGGGCTGTTGTGGAGTTCTTGGTTCTTAATTAAAAAAAAAAAAAAAAAAAAAAACTCATCAGAAAGGGCTAGGGCACCACAGCCAGCTAGCCAGAGGGAGTGAGTAGTTGGACCTGTAGGCTCGGGACCATGGTTGCAGGGGACATCAAGCTCAATTGGCATAATATACTACACAAAGATATTGTTCCACTTCCTACTTTGACGAGTAGTGACTGGGATCTTAAAAGCTTGCAAGCAGCCACCTAGATGAAATGATGGGTCTTTTCTTGTCCAGAGCAAAGAAGAATGAAGAAAACCAAAGATGCCTGGAAACAATTAGTTCAAGTGACTGGTACACCATGCTATCCTAAGCCTATACAACTATGAGACCAGAAAAACTAGATGGTGCCCGGCTACCACTGGAGGGGGATCTATGTAGGAGATCCTGGATAGAATGTGAGAACAATGTGGAACAAAACTCAAAATCATTAAAAAAAAAAAAAAGGATCAGGTTTGCTGGTCTATTAGAGCCTGATGGAACCACCGTGACTATGGCCCCTAGCTGTCCTTCAGGTCTGGAAGTAAACCCACACCTACGGCTTCCAGCTAAACAAAAGACAGGCATATGAGGTGAACATTTACACTAGGTAGATACACTCCTTGGAGAGATCAATCATGGGAGAACAGAGATCAACCTGTGTGCACAGGGAGACATTTCAGGGGGCAGGAGTACATGGGAGGGAAGGATACAGGGAAAGGGTAACTATGGGGAGGAAGTGGGAGGGGAGCTGTTGCATTGTGGGAAATTGCAGTCAATGTCATAAGACAAAGTGTATGTGAGCTGCTATATGGAAAGTGAATTAGCTCTGTAAACTTTCACCCAAACCACAATAAAAATTTAAAAAAAGAAAAAGAAAGGGCCAGGGCAATGAAAAAATAATTATTCTTCTATCTTTATCCACCTGGAGAAGGTCTCCCCCACCACTGCAAGCTTACTGCCTGTGTTTCCAATCAAAAAGCTTCAGAAATCTCAAGGGAGCTTGAACTGGTCTAAGGAAGAATAGCCTATTAATCAAGAAGTGATGGAGCTATTATTATATGGGCATTGTCTTAGGACTAAAAGAGCAAGACCCTTCAGTTGTCCAAGGAGATAAGACAAAACCACTTCTTTACAAAGAATGACTCTCACTGGTGCCAGTCCTCACTGTACTTCACTGCATCAATTCATTGCATCCTTTCAGCAAGCCTAAGGAGCTGGTATAATTATTATTATTATTATTATTATTATCCCCATTTTACAGATCCCCATTTTACAGACACAGTGTTTAAGTAACTCATCCAAGGCCACACAAATTAGTAAATGGAGGAGCCAGCATCCATACCCAAGTTACCTTTAGTGCCTACGTGTTTAACTGCTTTGCTGTAACAAATCTCCTCAGTACGATAGAAGAGCTTTTAGGAATATTAAATCAAACCAAAAAAAGAAAAGAAAAGAAAAAAGCTCATTGCCATTGAGTCGATTCTGACTCATAGTGACCCCTTTTGGGTTTCCGAGGTGCTAAATCTTTATGGAAGTAGATTGCCTGGTCTTCCTCCACGGGGTGGCTGATAGATTTGAACCACCAATCTTCTGGTTAGCAGGCAAATGCCTTAGGCACTATGCCTCCAGAGCTCCTTTAGGAATATTGTTGTTGTTGTTGTTGTTATGTGCCGTCGAGTCGGCCCCGACACTTAGCAACCACTCCTTGGGTTGCAAAGGCAGTATCACTACGGAAGTAGATTGCCCAACCTTCCTTCCAAGGAGTGGCTGGTGGGTTTGAACTGCCAGCCTTCTGGTTAGCAGTCAAGTGCCTTAGGCACTATGCTACCAGAGCTCCTAAAGGCCCACTGCTGGTATGGAATTCCAAACCAAGCTCTCTCCACTCTACTCGGCTGCTTCTTGTTGGCCGTGTTCTATGAGACATATTTGTTTGTTCCTGTTTTCTCTACAGTTAAAAGAAGGATTCTTCTTCAAACTGAGTTAATCTGGAAAATGTGTTTCCCTAGGAGATAATACAGGTTAGGAATGTGGACAGGTTCAAGAGAGTTTAGGTGCAGTTAGTTAGGAAGCCCAGAAAAGTTTGGAGGCACCCAGAACCGCAGAAACAGTACCTGTGCCCCATCCCTGCCACAGAGCATCCCACAGTGCCTCTATAAGGAGCAAGAAAGGAATGTGATTTAACTATGAGGCTACTTCCCTCACCCAAGGAAATTCTGCACCCCTGCCTGTGGGGACTAAGCAAAAAAATTAGTCAAGATGGAAGCAGAAGGAAAGTCGTCCACTAGGGTAGAGAGACTTGAACTGGGAATTAAAATGCAACCAATATTCTACTAACTAACTAACTCACTGCCATTGAGTCAGATCGGACTCATAGCAACCTCTCTTTGGGTTTCTGAGGCAGGATCACTATGGTAGATTGTCCAACCTTCCTTCTGAGGAGTGGCTGGTGGGTTTGAACTGCCAGCCCTCTGGTTAGCAGTTAAATGCCTTAGGCACTACGCCACTAGAGCTCTCAACAGATATTCAGGAAACTCGGAGTGCCAAATCCATTCTAACTCAAATTTCCTGAAGTTTTTAACTGTTTGCAGGCCTTCATTCTACATGCTTGGGCACAACTTGAAACCAATGGTATATGATAGCAATATTATGGGATGGGCTCATAGCATGCATTGTTCCAACAGAAGCTGACATGCAGAGACCATTGGTGGGCCTATACAGCCAGTCTCAGACCTGAGGACCCTCTCAGAAGCTTGCCCAACTGTCCATTCTCTGGCCACTCACCATGAAGTCAGTGGCTGCACCTGAGTTGGCATGCCTGAGGTAGATGGGGTTCACGCTGAAAGTTTGCTGCAGCTTGTACTTGTCCTTGACCCTGCAGGATTACAAAGGGGCATTAATCGCTGAGGCCTCTCCAGAGGAAGTAAGGTTTCCCCGCATACTCAGAGCTTGACTGCCACACTCACCAGAACCCAGTACAGTCAAAATGCACCATCATCCACTTGGAAGGATTAAAGGTGAAGGAATCTGCATACTCGATGCCTTTCAGAAATCCCTGGAACTCAGGGCACAAGAAGGCAGTGCCTGCATAGGCAGCATCGATATGGAGCCAGAGCCCCTCCCTGGCACCTGAGGAGACAAGGGTCATATGGCTAAGGAGTATGTGGTACAACCAACTGAGCAAAAGCCTTCTCTGACCTGACCAAGCTGGATGGTGTACTGCAAAGAGAAGGATGAGACACGTGAGGAAGTGAGCTGAATGAGCCGCCTCCACTTCCTCTCTAGAAAGCCTATCAAGCTTCTCCCTGGCTTTTTCCTGTCACCAGGCAGGAAGTCAACATCCTTTTGGCCTCAGACTAGAACTTACTGCTACAGAAACCAGCTTCCCATTGGCCCAGAGAGCAGTATTAGTGCATCTAGTATAAAGTCAGAGAGGAAATGTCTCCCTTTTTAGTGGGCATCTTGTTTAGGGATTTTAAACAATCCAATTTGGGTCCCTTCTCCACCGTTATCTCCCATCATGATTTCTCCAACACTTCTCTTTTCCTTTTCTCACCCTAGAGTAGATGATATTTCTTGTGGTCTCATTCACTCTGTGTTTTGGTTATAACCTGCTTGAAGTGACATTTGACATACAAGTGAGATGGTGAGAACACAGGGTGTGGGTAGGGGTGGGGTGAAGGGTGGGAGTCTCTCCCTCTGTTGCCTCCTAGATGAGATCCAAGATAGAGCAGTGCAGTTCAAACCATTGGTTAGACCAATGGGAAAAGCAGTGGCCTGGACTGGCTGGGAGAAAGCCCTTGTGGTCTTCAGTGGCTCTTCCTGTGCTCTCCACATTGACCAAAGAGGGACTACAATAATCCCACCAAGCTGGTTTCAGGTTCTTGCTCTAAAGACATATATTACTTGTCTTCCTAAGCAGACAGGGCATATACTTACAGATGGGGCCCAGCTCTGACAGGCAGTCAAACGCACAGACCCCAGTGGTCCCTAGTGTTGCACACACCTGGGGAAGAATAAAGGCACTTTAACAGGGGAAGGTAAGTGACCTGAAAAAAAATGATCTAAACACAGACATTACCTGCTGCACCCATGCCACTGGAGCAGTGCATAGTTTACACTATTTTTTTACCACGACCCACAGTAAGAGATATATGCTATACTGCAATCTAGTTCATATATTGTATTTGAAATAAAATGAGTATTTGAAATACATTTGTATATGAAATAAAAGTTTCACAAAAGTATGCATATCCTAACTAGATGAATGTACTCTGATATTTTCTATTCTATTTCTCTCTCTCTTTCTTCCTCTCTACTTGTTATGTCCCACAAAATGTATTTCACAACACACCTTATAATATATCTAAATGATATAGCTTAATCATAATCTAGGTTAATAATACAGCTCAAATTTGTAATACATTGTATTTGAGGACCTTCTTGGTTTTGTTTGCAGCATGTTGCTGAATTCTGCCAAAATCCCTTCCTTCCCTCCAAGTTCTGTTGTTCTAAGCTTACAAATACATCCTGACTTACAAAGACAGGCACCAAGCCCCGCTCTTTGTCCTCCTCAATAGCTTTCTGAAGAGTGTCACCTCGGAGGGAGAAGTTGTTATCCACAGGCAAAAATCTCATCTTCACAAGAGATATCAAACCAGCCTTTTCCACTGAGGAGTGGGCCTAGAAAGACCATAGAGACCTATTAGCAAAGAATTGTCCTGAGGCGAGCACTCCCCAGAAAGTGCTGACAGGTAGCACTAAGGGAACTAAATACAAACGTTTCAACATTGCCTTACCCTGTAGTTCCTAGAGGAGCCCCTGGGTAGTGCAAAATGGTTGCACGCTCAACCATTAACAAAAAGGTTGGAGGTTCAAGTCCACCCAGGGGTGTCTTGGAAGAAAGGTTTGGTGATATACTTCCCCAAAACCCGCCATTCAAAACCCTATGGAGTAGTTTTACTCTGACATACATGGGGTGAACATAAATTGTAATCCACTCGGCAAAAAAAAAAAAGAAGGTGGGGACCAGGTTTGCTAGTCCAATAGAGCCTGGTGAAACCACTGAGACTATGGCCCCTAGCTGCCCTTCAGGTCTGGAATTGAACCCACACCTGTGGTTTCCAGCCAAACAAAGCACAGGCAAGTGAGTTAAACATTTACCTCAAGTAGACACACACCCTGGAGAGAACAATCATGGGAGAAGGAAGGGCTGCTTATGCACAGGGAGACAGCTCAGGGCGCAGAAGAGTATGGAGGGATGGACACTGGGAAGAGGTAACTATGGGGAGGAAGTGGGAGGGGAGCTGTTGTATTGTAAATTTTGGTCAATGACATGAGACAAAGTATATGTGAACTGCTGTATGAAAAGTGAATTTACTCTGTAAATCTTCACCCAAATCAAAACAAAATTAAAAAAAAAATTGTAATCCACTCAACAAAATTTAGGATGTTTCTGTTTGTTTGTTTTATAGGTCCTGGAGACAACCTCCAAGATCTGAACTATCCTGAACCTCAGCACAATCATGTCTAGGAGAAAACTGCTCAAGAACTGAAGACTCCAGAAGCCAGGGGCTCAATCAAGCGATGACCTGAGGTTTGTCCTGCATTGGGCACTCACCTGGTCAGAGGCATAGGCAATGAGTTGGGCATTCAGAGTGGACTCATCAGCATCAGACTCAGACTTTTTCATTTCCAGGATTTTGTTCTTCCTTGCTGCCAGCAAAGCTATCAAGGTTGATTCACTGACTGTGCTCTGTAATGGAAACAAGATCACCAATGGCACCCTCTCTCTCTGTTTTCTCTTACCAAATTCTCCCTGGTGTTTCATAGGGAAGTGTATGTGTGTGTGTGTAATGTTGTTGTTGTTGTTGTAGTTGTGTGCCGTCGAGTCGGCCCTGACTCATAGCGACCCCTCCTTGGGTTTCCGAGGCAGTATCACTACAGAAGTAGATTGCCCAGCCTTCCTTCCGAGGAGTGGTTGGTGGGTTTGAACCTCCAGTTAGTAAAACATACACAGCTCCTGCCTAAGGGGCATCCTTTCTCCTCAACAGGTATACTTAGTCTGCCTTCCACATTCACAGTACCCTACGTCCTGGGACACCTGTATGTAATTTTCCAGGGAAGTAATGAAAACAAGTGTTTATCTAATATCAACATTCTTAATAGAGATGTCACAGAGACCAAAAAGAAGAATGACTTCTCTGACAGATATAAATTTTCTCCCGATGAAAAAACTATTTTAAAAGATGTACCTCTCAATTTCCAAGGTATGAAGATGGATTTTGATGAGAGTCTGGCTCTGTTTTTGTTGCTGTTAACACTTGTGACCTTGAGCTACTACTGCCCTTGGCAATGACATTTTCCATCCATAAGATGAAGAGAATTTCTTTAACTGCCTCTTGAGGTGGGAGCATAGGTTATTCCAACAAGGGTTAGACCCTGAATGTCCACAACAGGCAGTAATTTGTGTTTTTTTGAGATTCAAACTTTTATCTTGCTATGAGGCTGGTGTGAGAATCAGCTAGTGAGTGGGTCCAGAAAATAAGGCTGCTGTCATTTAATAGAGCAGGTCATTTAATCTTCACATCCACTCTTTCAGAAAAACATTGCTATTACTACCCCTATTTTATAGAGACTAAAAAAAAAAAAAGAGAAAGGAAGAGACAGTGGTGGTGACAGCAGGGTAAAGGCAGCAGAGGTCAGGGTGGTATTGGCAGCAATGGTGGGAGTGGTGGCAGTGGCAGAGGTCATAGCTATGGAGATGGTGGTGTTGATGACAGTGGTGTCAATCATGGTAGTGCTGGTGGTGTTGGTGATGATGGTGTCAATCATGGTAGTGCTGATGGAAATGATGATGATGGTGGTGACGGTGACAGTAACGGTGTGAGGAACATGGTAGAAACCTCACGGAAACAAAAGAATTGCCCAAGCAAGCCTTTGGCTACTTAAACCTTTTGGCATAACTCAGTAGAATTTTCCTATTGAAGGCACCTGCAAGACACCTCCTCCCTGGCTGCTGGGGTGGTGGTGCAGGAAGTGCTCTGGGAGTCCCAGCATTTTTGCCAGCCAGTCCATGACATTCATCTCCAGCTCCGTGCACACAGGACTGGAAGCCTGAAAGAGGGAAAGGAAGGTCATTAGGATACCCCCCTTACCCAGAAACACATCCATTTCTGCCCTGGACCTTCTTGGCTGTGATGATATCAGTGGGAGCCTATCATCTCCTAGGAAAAAAGGGTCAAGGTCAGGCTTTGTGCCCCACCTCTACCTCATCCTCTGCCAAACCAAAAAGGAAAAGATTTTGAAGCTTAGGATTCATGCAGCCTTCACTGGGATAGATTCCTTTATGACTCCAAGACTCTAGAAATGATTGGTTTGGATTTGGCTCCCCAGTCCCTAAAATATGTAGCTGAGAAGCATTCTAAAGCCTGGGAGGGGGAGTTTTAGGACTAAAATAGAAAGCACTCCTTCCTGGAAATGATAATAACCTCCCCCCTTACACACTCACAGACACTGATGATAGTTGAGGCTTAAAATACAAAGATGTTCTATGAGGCAATTGGCACAATTTCAAGCTGATGGGTACTTATGAAGTTATTAAGGGAAGGCTGAGAGCATGTCCCTAGTCTCTCAAAGACAAGAGTATGGAAGTAGTTGGGACCCACCAGGCACAGAAGTGCACTGGTTAGGGACCTAACTTTTGGCAAAAGAGAGATGTCAGTTCGAATATCATCTCTCTGTTTAGCAGCAGTATGATCTTGGAGAGATAAGATGCTTAAGCCTCAATCACCTCATCTGAAAAATGAGGCCAATACTCCTGATGCTATAAGTGTTAAAGAAATTAAATGAGATAATTTATATAAAGTATAAGGTCATGAATGTAACCATTATTAATATTTAACTTGGGGCCCTGTTCATAGAGTAGGACAAAACATGTCTGTCCCCAGATACTACTTCCTGCTGTGTCCCCTGCTGCCACTGGTTATGGCTTTTGCTACTCACCCAGGTGAATCCCAAGCAGTTGATGGCATCGGCCAGCATGTCTCCCAGCAAGGATGGCCAAGAAGTGAGGGCTGGGAAGTAGGCATGCATGTGGGGGCTCTGCCAGTGTACCACCTGGGGGCAGAGCATGCACACAATTGGCACCAGGAGCCATTTTTGTGAGGAGCTCCACCTCCAGTGATCCTCCCAGACAAGTGACACAAATCCATAAAAATCAGACATATTCATTGCCACGTTTCTGGTATTCTAACCCAGTTCATCAGTAGGTTGCACATATGAAAAGACCAGAAAAGAGTGTGCAAAATGAAAATTGTTACAGTAATTAGGGCTGTGCTATTCTGAGTCGTGTTCACATTTGTCTCCAATGCTTACTCCCTACATCTTCCCCGCCCAGTAATAAGAGAAAGAGGAGACTATAGGTGCTAGAAGAGCAGGTTGCTTGTCTCAGCCAGTTTCTTGTAAAAACTATCTTTTATTTTATGAAGCACTGAGCTTTTAGGCACCCAAATGGGAATGGGCTCAAAGTTTCCTTAGCTTCCCAGTGGTGATGGAGAGAAAGAAGAGAGGGCTAGCATCCAGGCTACCCCTGAGCCCACAATTAAGAAAGAAAAGAAAAACTAGATAATAGAATATTGTTGACATTGTTGTTGTTGTTAATTGTCTCTGAGTCAGCCCCTGACTCACGGGAAACCCATGCACAGTAGGATGGAAGGCTGCCTGGTCCTACACCACCTTGTGATTGGCTGCATATCAGACCATTGTGATCCATAGGGTTTTCATTGCTGGATTTTCAGAAGTAGATCTTCCTAGTCTGTGTTAGACTGAAAGCTCCACTGAAACCTGTACAGCATCACAGCAATAGGCAGGCCTCTGCTGACAGACAAGTGGTAGCTACGCATGATGTGCAATGGCCAGAAAGCCAACCCAGGTCTCCTGTATGGAAGATAGGAATTCTACCAATTATCCAGTCACAGAATGGAATGGAGGTTTTTGTTTTGTTTTATTTAAAAAAAAAGAAAGAAAGAAGCACCAATACATGCTTCTTGGATAAGCATGGATAAGCATGGATAAGCCTCGAAAACATTATGCTAAGTGATCGAAGCCAGACACAAAAGGCCACATATTGTATGATTCCATTTATATGACATGTCCAGGATAGGTAAATCCATAGTTAAAAACAGATTGGTGGTTACCAGGGGCTGGGGGTGGAGGAAGGAATGGGGAGCAACTGCTTACCAGTTACAGGCTTTCCTTCTGGGATGAAAATATTTTGAACCTAAATAAAGGTGGTGGTTGCACAACATTATGAATGTCCTAAATGCCACTGAATTGTTCACCTTAAAATGGTTCATTTTATGTTATGTGCCTTTTACCTCGATTTTAAACAATGGATGTAAAGAGGAACTGGACAGACAGGGCTCCCATAAGAGGCCTCTGAAGCATCCTCCATGGTTCATCTGCCCCACTGATTATCTAATCTCACCTCATCTCACAGTTCTGCAACCATGTCCTGTTCATTTCAGTGATCGTGTTTTTGAGCAATGCTGTGTTCTCTGACAGGAAGGTGCTCCCACACAGACATGACCACCCAACATCTGTTAATTCGTAGAGAGTTACTAAATATTTCTTTCCTCCATGACCCTTTCCCAGCTCTCCTGGTCCCGTTGATCCCTCCTGTCACACAGAGCACTCTCATTCTAGGCAGTGCAACCTTCAGAGGACTCAGTAGATAACATCTCAGGGCATCATCCGGTCATTCAGTGTGCACAATTCTGATAATGCTTCACGAGCAAGGACTGGGTCCTAGACAGCGTGTTACAATGGAAGGAGCATAATGAAGTTCAAAGTCATAGGTTCCAGTCCTGCCTCTGTCCCTAAGCAGCAATGTGACCTTATTGATTTACTGTGGAGCTAAAGCTAAAGAACTCAAGCTTCCAGATCCCACATTTATAAGGACTTGTTTCAAGATCCATACTTAATTTTTTTTTCTTAAAGGGAATCCCGAAATTTGTGTATCCTTCAGGCCCCATAAAGCCAGGATCCTACCCTGCATATTTTTTAGACCTCAATTTCTCATTATAAAATAAATCCTGTCTCCCATGGTTATTGTATGGGTCAGCAGGGGCTGAAGATTTGTAAAACATACAGCACTGTGGTAGCATAGTGCCTAAAGTATTTGACTGAGGTTCAAATCCACCAGCCACTCTGTGGAAGGAAAACTGGGTAATCTACTGCTATAAAGATTTACTGCCTCGGAAGCCCAAAGGGGGTTGCTATGAGTCAGAATTGACTCAATGACAGTGAGTTTGGTTTGGTTTGGATTATTAATAAGATCTTTGGGTGGTGAAAACAGCTAACAGTCTTGGCCACTAACTGAAAGTTTGGAGGTTTGAGTCCACCCAAAGAAGGCTCAGCAGAAAAGCCAAGAGATCTTGCAAAAGATCAGCCATTGAAAACCCTGTAGAGTGCCATTGTACTCTCACCAGGTCACCATGAGTCAGAGCCAACTCAGCAGCAACTAGTTTTAATGTTAATGGCAACCTGTTGTTGTTGTTACATGCCATTGACTGGGACCCGACTCATAGCGACCCCTCCTTGGGTTTCCAAGGTGGTATCACTATAGAAGTAGATTGCCCAACTTTCGTTCCGAGGAGTGGCTGGTGGATTTTAACCACCAACCTTCTGGTTAGCAGTCAAGTGCCTTAGGCACTATGCCACCAGAGCTCCTAATACTGTAGTAAAAGACACATTCCATGTCCTGACTTCACTCTTAGATAATCAAAATTTTCCTTTGATTTTCACCAGGTAGAAGGTTTCCTGTTGTTATTAGGCACCGTCTAGTCTATTTTCAACTGATAGCAACCCTATGTGACAGAAAATAATTGCCCCATTGGGTTTTTTAGGCTGTAATATTTATGGGAGAAGATCACCAGGTCTTTTTCTCCTGCAGAGCCACTAGATGGGTTTGAACCATTAACCTTTGGGTTAGCAACTGAATGCTTAACTTTTATACCACCTGGGATCATTGAAAGTATCTTATGTAATAACAGTATCTTCTGCTTTACATGTTTTATCTTACTTACTGCTGACAGTACCCACATGCTGTAGTTTCTACCACTACCCTAGTTTTACAGATGATGATTGGGGCTGGCAGAGACAGACAGCATGCCTGTGGTCACATACATCTCACAAGGGATAGATCACAGAGCCAAGACAGGAGTCCAAACCTGTGTGACTCCAGAACCCAAGTATGTCAGCAGGATGGCATTCTCCCCCTGGACCACCTCTTCTCCCTCATGAAGAGTAAATAAGGGTGTTCTAACCAAGGTTGGACTTAAAGGAGAAGGAGACTTTTTCTCCATTTAGCTTGGGAGGTGGCAGGAAGGAAACAATTTTTCCAGCTTTCAATGAGGGTGCTGACCATGTTAAGAAAGCAAAGGATCAACTGTTTTCAGGCAACTCCCAGAGGCTGGTCCAACCTGTGAGATGAGATGAAAGATCAGGCATTCCTTATCGTGGTATTTAGTGACAGTATGTTGGAAACCCCAGAGGAGGGCTCCCATCTCCTGACCCTATCAAGAGGCAATTGTCTGTTCTTGTAAGATAAATAAGAAAAGATAAGCCAGAGGAGCCCTTATCGAAAGCAGACATGCCTCTGTGTCCAGAAATGAGCCTCTTTGACCACACCCTCCCTCAAGCAACTGCTAGAATTTCTTTCAATCAAATGAATCAGCTCATTGCCCCATCTTTTGACAGTTTCTTTCAGTCTTACTGCCAGATTACAGTTAGCTCCTGGTCAGATTACACTTTACAGAACGGGATCTGTGTGATAATCTTATCTGGGAGTTGGTCTCCTTGGTAAAGCTTTGAGGATGGTGAGGACACATCTCAAGTCAGCCTTGGAAAGAGCCTCTGCAATTCAGAGCACAAATGCCCCAAGCAGAGAGTGGAAGGGCACAGCTGAAGGGGTGACATTGGGTGCCCAGCTTCATCATGGGCTCAGCCTGGGTGCACTATGTCACTCACCAGTAAAGGTAGTGAAGTGCTGGAGAAAGAGCCAAGACTTTAGAGTAAGACTGGCTTACATTAAAATCTTGAATCTGCCAGGTAATTATTCTGTGTGACTTTTGTCAAGACAATTAACTTCTCTGAGTATTAGTTTCCTTACCTGTAAAACAAGGATTCTAGGGTTACTGTAGAATCCCTGGGTGGTGCAAATGATTTATGTGCTCTGCTGACTCAAAGGTTGGAAGTTCAAGGCCACCCAGAGGCACTTGGAACAAAATCCTGGCAATTTACTTCCAAAGAATCAGTCATTGAAAACCCTATTGTGACACACAGGGGGTCACCAGGAGTCAGAGTTGACTCGGTGATCACTGGACAGGACTGGAAGGTCACTGCAAGGATTAAATGAGCTTGCCTTTAAAGTGACTAGTACAGTGCCTGGCATATGGCATGTTGTTGTCATTGTTAGGTACCATTGGGTCGGCTCCGACTCATAGCAACCTTGTGTACAGCAGAACAAACACTGCCCGGTCCTGTGCCAGCCCCATAATCCTTGCTATACCTGAGCCCATCATTACCCATCGACAATGAGGGCCTTCCCCTGTATCGCTGACCCTCCACTTCACCAAGCATGATATCCTTCTCCAGGGAATGGTCCCTTCTGACAATATGACCAAAGTAAGTGAGACGAAGTCTGGACATTTTCACTTCCAAGGAGTACTCCGGCTGCAATTCTTCCAGGGAGCTCAATAAAAGGAAGGAGGCCTGGTGTCAGAGCTTTGAACTGGTTTAGCCTGGTTCAGTCATGGCTGACAAAATGACACCAGAATGGACTTGAATTTTTAAAACATGGGTGAACTGGAATGATAATCTGAATGGGAAAAATTACAAAGCTCTGCTAGAAACCTAATCTGCTTTTTAGAAAATAAGGGCAGCATGCACATTGCCAAACCAAAACCCAAACCAAACACTGCCGTGGAGTCAGATCTGACTCATAGTGACCCCTCCTTGGGTTTCCAAGGTGGTAGCACTACAGAAGTATATTGCCCAACCTTCCTTCTGAGGAGTGGCTGGTGGGTTTGAACCACCAGCCTTCTGGTTAGCAGTCAAATGCCTTAGGCACTATGCCACCAGAGTTGCATGACAGCCAAATCCCTTGAACAACTGAGTTGAAAACAGTGGGGCTCAGCTCAAAGATGGCGACCAACCACTCTACTTTGAATCGATGACTACGGTCCTGGCAATGATCCAATGTCACACACATCAGAACTCACTATTACCTCTTCAGAGTCTCCCAATCCAGAGCTTCAACCCATAATTTTTCCTATTCCATTTATCATTTCAGATCATCCAAATTTTAAAATTCAGGTCTGTTCTTGTTTCACTTTGTTAGCCATGACTGAACTGATTGCAATAGGTTCAACACCTTGCCTGGTGGGTGTTTAGTGTGAGCACCCTGGCACAGTTCCTCACCCCTGGTGGCCAGGGGCATTAGCAAAACCCAAAGTGAGCTTCCTATTGCAGGGGCTGAAGCTCCAGCCCCATGCATTACTAAGCTTCCAGATTCACATCTATTCCCTAGCCCAGGTCAGAGCTCTCACCAGCTTACATCCTTTGTCATGGAGAGTATCAGTGAGTCAGGGGGAAGCTCTTCCTACCCTTGAAAAGCATCTCAATCACAAGGCTTTGCCTAGTAAGGAAGATCATGGTTCTCACTTCACAAAAGAGAAAGGAGGGGGCTGACTGGAGCCCCTCCACCTCTTGGACTTCCCAACCTGATAACCATGGTGACCTCAGGGGGCCATATTCCCAGCCTCTTCCCTTCCCTTTGGCATGGTCTCAGACTTTCTGTAACAGAATCCCTGGCTCTGTCCTTTGTGCCTTCAGGGTCTATCTCTAGCTTCCTCTGTCTGGCCATGAAATTGTAGTTTCACCTCAGACCCAGTTTTCACTTCTTGGCCCATCTCACCAGAATTCCACACTTCAGTCGTTCTCCAGCCCTGGTACCCTGGGATGCAGTCCTTGTTCTCCTTTGGGTCCCCACCCAGTACTACAGGCTAGCCCTGGCATCAAAAACCTAATGTCTATCAAAGTCCTGACCCTCCACTTGTCCAGCTGGCAAGCTTGAATGTTGATGGCAAGTAGCCTAAAGATTAACTTTCATCCCAGGCTGATCCAGAGAGCCTTTCCTTCAGGGCTACCACTCACCTCCCTGTGCCCTAAAATCCAGAATCCCCCTTGTAGTCACTGTTTCTCACCCCAGGCATGATGATCCTCTCAATGTCCTCAAAGATGCTGTCCCAACTGTCAGGTTCCTCAGGAGCTCTCTCAGGAAGCTGGGCTCGCAGGTAGCCAGGCTGAACGTCTGGGGTGACCTGCCTCTCCCGCACAGTGCTCAGGTACTGGCAGATGTAATCCACCATCTCTTTTCCTAGAAGGAAGGCAGAGAAACCAAGCTTATGACTTCTGACTGGGTCTGACCAATTCGTGCCTATTTACCTTGGGTCTGGGACAAGAGACTTGGTGAAGGAAAAAGATTCACAGGCCAGCAAGAGAAATCTTGGGCTCCAGAATGGAATAATGAGTGAGGGAGTGAATGAATTATGGAGGGAGTGTATGAGTGAACAAATGAATAGGAAGGAAATTCTCCAAAGCAGAAAACTCTAGCACCAAAGAAAAATATTTCTTTCTCCTCCCCCTTAATTTATCAATCTTGATCATTTCTCCTACCTTTATTTTCTTCTCAAAGAACAGAACATCTATTCATTTATTACCTCACAGATTCAGTAGAAATTCAGTGGCTCTTTCTGTCCAAAAAGACTATTTTACACCCACACCCACTAAGGGAGCTCTGGTAGTGTAGTGCCTAAGGCACTCGACTGATAACCAGAAGGCTGGTGGTTCAAACCCACCAGCCACTCCTCGGAAGGAAGATGGGGCAATCTACTTCCATAGTGATACTGCCTCGGAAGCCCAAGGAGGGGTCGCTATGAGTCAGGTCCGACTCGACGGCACATAACAACAACAACACCCACTATATTATTCGTTAGCAAGATGGCAAATTTCCATGCCCAGTCTAATAAAGGGTGAAAAACTATTTGATCACCATTCCTACTGGATCTGTAATTCCTCACCTTTTTTTTTTTTTTTTTTTTTGGACCTATGGATATCTTTCAGAATCCAGTTAAAAGTCTAAACTTACACTCACTGAAGGACAAATATTGTATGATCCCACTTAACTGAATACCTAGAATAGGCAATATACAGAGCCCATAGTTTATTAGTGATAATCAAGGGCAGGTGAGAGGGAGGGGGGAAAAGGGGACTCATTGCTTAGTGGACACTGAGCTTCTATTAAAAGTGATAGAAAATTTTGGAAATAGATAGCAGCAATGTAAAACAAATGAGTCCTAGTGGCACAGTGGTTAAGCACTTGCTGCTAACTAAAAGGTCAGTGGTTTGAACCCACCAGTTGCTCCACAGGAGAAAGATGTGGCAGTTCACTTCTGTATAGATGACAGCCTTGGAAACCCTATGGGGCAGTTCTACTCTGTCTTACAGGGTTGCTGTGAATGGGAATGGACTTAATGGCAACAGGTTTTGGTTTTTGGTAATGTTAAACAATGTGGTGAAGGTCATTAATGTTACCTAATTGTATATGTAGGATCTCTGGTGGTGTAGTGCCTAAGACACTTGACTGCTAACCAGAAGGCTGGTGGTTCAAATCCACCTGCCACTCCTGGGAAGGAAGGTTGGGCAATCTACTTCCACAGTGATAATTGCCTCGAAAATCCAAGGAGCGGTTGCTATAAGTTGGATCCAACTCCGCAGCAGTGAGTTTGATTCTTTTGGTGTTCTTTAATTGTACATGTAAAAAATCTTGAAAGGGCAAATGTTTGTTTACATACATATTTACTGCAAGATTAAAAAAAAAAAAACTTGTAAACTTTTACACACACAAAAAAATTTTTTTGTATAATTTCTGTTGTTGTTATGTGCCCTCGAATCAGACCTGACTCATAGCAGAGACCCTCCTTGGGTTTCCGAGGCGGTATCACTATGGAAGTAGATTACCCAACCTGCCTTCCAAGGAGTGGCTGGTGGGTTTGAACTGCCAGCCTTCTGGTTAGCAGCCAAGTGCCTTAGGCACTATGCTACCAGAACTCCCAACCATAGGTCCAGATTAAGAACGCCTGACATCTCAGGGAAATGAGCAACTGTGCCTTAATCACTTTTTTTTATCTATCTATACCCCCTGCCCCTCACACCGTAGTGTCTAGACATATTTAAGATGATCAAAGAATTTTATCAAATGATTAAGGAAGAAAGAAACCAAAGGCAAATACTCTGAAGTCACTGCAAATGTGTTTTTCTTTCTTCTCTTTCATTTCTCTGGGACTGGTCTCAATCTTCAGTGCCTGTCTCTTGCTCACTCTGCATCTCTCTCATGTTCTCTCTCTCTCTCTTTCTCTCTCTCTCATTGTTTCTCTCCCTTTCTGTGTGTCCAAGTATTTCTCTCAATATTTATAATCCTTCCTTAGCATCCCAGAGTATATTTTCCCCCCGCAAAGAGAGAGATACAGAGGAGAGAAGAGAGAAACCATATTCTTCTCTCTTCACTAGTTCATACAAAGTTCTTATAATCAGGACCAGTCCTGGACAAAAGTGTGAAGGAAACAGAGAGCTTTCATAGCCCTTCTCTTTTCTTCCTGCTCTCCTCCTCCCCCTCCTCCCCTCCCATGGTCAGTGCCTCTCTCAGAGGCCCCCACCAAAGCTCTCAGAGCTCAGGACCTAGCCTCCCACTTGTCCAGGGACAGCATCAAATGTATTTTTGTTCCATTCACAGGATGAATTTCCACAGGAACCTGCTCTCACCTAAATGTGTCTTGGGAAAGCAATGGAATAAGCTAATACATTAAAGTGTAAAGGTTGATGGCAACTTGGGTTGTCTCTGAGTGGAGAAGAAAGAGTAAAAATCAAATTTTACATGACATAATACCTGGCAGCCAAAAATTTTTAGATAATCTGACAGATCAGTTGGGGTGGTGAAGCTATAAAAAATTATGGAGAGGAAGATATTCAAGATCCTCTTGAAAGCAACTATCCACTTTCCCTGAGGAAAGCCATGCCCCAAAGCAGGGTATCCGTTTGGTTTTGCTCATCACACAAGGTTTGATACATAACACCAACCAAACTCACTCAGGTCTATCCTTCTGCGAGCCACTGGATGGATTCTAACCTGGATTCCAACTCCCAACCTTTAGGTTAGCAGCCAATTGCAAACTGCTTATGCCACCAGGCTTCCTGATACATTCTTTTGTTGTTATTAGATGTCATTATGTCCATTTAGACTCACAGTAACCCTATGTGACAGAGTAGAACTGTCATATAGAATTTCCTAGGCTGTAGTCTTTACGGGAACAGAATACTAGGTCTTTTCCCATAGAATCACTGGGTAGGTTTGAAGCAAATCTCTCAGCAGTTAAGCACTTAACAGTTGTGCCACCAGACCTCCTTTTCCATACATAGTAGGTACTCACTAAATATTTATGGAAGTAATGACTAAACAAAAGAACAGGCACTGTGACATTAACATGATTGATATGCTCACAGATAGAAAAATGAATGGTAAGGAAGTAGATTTTGCAACAACTACAGAATACTTCTAGGAATTTTTTTTTTTTTTTTTTTCTCTTTCAGGATATGAATGATTCCTTTTTTCCCCATTTAGTCTACCAGGAATTTAAATCCTCTTTCTTGTGAGAAAGTAGAAAGGAAAATGGTGACACAGCAGAGTGGACCTATATGAAAGTTGGAATATGAGAGAGAGAATGAAAGAGAGATTGAGAAAAGCTTAAACTTTGATCCTGCATCCCTGGAAAATATTGGTGAAGCCAATTCTAATTCTTTAATTAAAATGCAAATCAATTCTAATTCTCCCAGTCAAATGACACCCCACAGGGCCACCCACCAGTAGCAGTGCCCGCAGGAGATGGTAGAAGGGGAGAGAGTCAGGGATGCCCATCACTCACCTCTCTCTCTGTACTCCTCCGGCTTCATCATCTCTCCCTGGGCTCACGCTCTTTCTCACAGACAGACACGCAGGAGGAGGAAAAGGTGGAAGGCAGTGGAGCAGCCCAGCCTCCTGCCTGCTGGTCCTACACACTCCTTGGAGACCAGTGTGAGACCTTTATTTAAAGGATTCACTGATGTGTCCTTTGGCTTTAGCTCCGCCCTTCAAAGTCCCTTCCTCTAGGTTCAATTAATTCCACCCCTTTCCCCTCCACACTGACTCTTTGTTGGGGACAGTGACCAGAACTTCAGCTTGTCAAAAGGATCAGAATAAAAGACACTTCTAAAATTAAACAGTACACTTAGCAACTCAGGCCTGCAGGCAGCACTCAGGTGGATGTGGTACAAGAGACTTCAGTTCTTTCTGCCCCTGAATTCAGACAATGGGGCCCCAACCTCAATAACAGTTCCCAGCTCAGTAGAGAAGCCCCAGGTGTATAGAATGAGCAATATCACTCTCGCCACTGCTTCCCCATCAGCAGTGGAGAAGGTGGAACAGGCACTTAGAATGACGGTCCCTTACTGACCAGGTTGTGCTAAGGCACAGGCAGATGTTACCATCTCTAACACAATTTTTGTTCATTAATACATAAAACATGTTGTGGAAAGATGAAGAAACACAGATAGGCAAAAATAATAAAGATGAACATATCACCCAGAAATAATCACTTTTAGCACTTAACAGGGTGTGTGTGTGTATGTGTGTGTGGAGCCAAGCAGAAACTACTTGTTACATGCTATTCCCCAAGTCTTTCCACAAAAACTAACTAGTCTTTCCTTCAACCTCACAAATAAAAGAAGGATAAGGCTTTAAAGAACACCTAAGTGTGTTCTTTATAAAACATTCTGTTTTAGATATGACTATCCCTGGAAGGAGCTGCCTAAGGCACTTGACTGCTAACCAGAAGGCTGGCAGTTCAAACCCACCAGCCACTCCTCAGAAGGAAGGTTGGGCAATCTATTTCCATAGTGATACTGCCTCGGAAACCCAAGGAAGGGTCACTATGAGTCAGGTCCGACTCGATGACACATAACAACAAATCTCTAGAAGACAAGGGCATTAACTGCCCTACTTAGTAATGGACTAAGATCTGAATTAAGGACATTAATGAAAGAAATACAAATTAGAATGGGAAGCAACATCTTTAGACAAAATTCTTAAATTGGGTGTTCATTTTGAGGAAACACTTGAGGCTGATAAAGAGAACACAAATAAATTAATGACACTGCAGTTGCAACAACTGCAAGGACCTAAAGATTTCTCAGGATAGATCTTTTTTCTTATAAGCCTTTGCCCTGCCCTCCTATATTACAAAAATATTCAGTAAAGAAAAACCAATGTCTGTAGTGCAAGCAATATGGATATTGGGAAAGGAATTGTCTTAAATTTAAAAAAGAAGAAGAGGAAGAATCAAACTAAACAAAAACCAACCAAATCCCCCATGAAAGGTATTTTCTGTGGACCTCATGATTGAGATTGCTCCAAAGAACTTAATAGCACCATTTTCCCCTTAATTCATTTAAATTTCAAAGCAGAAACACAAATAACTATTAATGGGGAAACCTATAAGCTTTGATAGACATTGGAGGAACTATTTCAACATTAAACTCTAAATTTTTCACATCAATCTGTTCCTTGTAGTAATTATAGTTTCAGACATTTTATCAAAATTAAGGCATCAAATCACTTTCACTCCTGAAGGTGAAATGATGTTAGAAATTCCTGATTCTTTAGAACATGAATTACTTGTTTAATGCAGAGTGGAATAGAATCTCACTCGCTCATCAATAATGATAAAATTAAATCAAATTTATCAAAATTGCCATATGTATTATGGGCAAAGGATTCTACAGATATAGGGGACATTTAAAGTGCAGACCAACTAAACTTGAAATTGATCCTACTAAATCCTTGCCTAGAATTCCTCAATATCTGCTCAGACTAGAGACTATCAGAGGTCTGAGGCCAACAGTGGAAAGTTTTATTAGTAAAGGATTAATATACCTTGGACTAATTCTTGAAACACTTCTATAAGAAAACCAAGTAGTAGAGGATGAAGATTTGTACAAGATCTTATAGCCATCAACAAAATTGTTATTCCTATATTTCTGGTAGTTCCAAATTCCCATACTTTACTTTCCAAAGTTCCTGTAGATTCTACTTGGTTTATAGTAATAGATTTATGTTCTGTTTTGTTTGTTTGTTTGCTTTTAACATGTCTGTAGATGAAGCCAGAGAATATCTTTCTGCATTTAATTAAGAAAATTTATAATATACTTGGACTTGTATGCCTCAAAGTTTTACTGAAGCACCCACCCTCTTATTTCTTCCAAAGTTTAGATCAAGGTCGTAATGATCCAGATTTTTCTGAAGGTTCAACTTTAATTCAGTATGTGAATGGTTTATTTTTATGTTCAAACACTGAATAAAGCCCCTTCAAGGATTAAATTAATTTATTGAAATAGTTGGTAATAAAAGGGCATAAGATTTCAAAGGAGAAATTGTAATTTGTACAGGAATCTGTTGCCTAGTTAGGATATAATTTATATAAAAATGGAATACAAAATTCTTCAGAAAAATTGATCAGTGTTAGAAATTTTCCTAGACCCACTATTATGACATGGATTTTTAGAATTAGCAGGGTGTTGTTAAAATAGACTCCAAATTTTTCTTTGATAGCATCTCCACTCTATGATCTAACTAAAAATTCTGTTCCTTGGGATGAAACATCTGAACAACTCTTTACAGACCAAAACAATCACTTAACTAATGCACTTGTCTTGGATCTTCCAAATTAGGATAAACCCTTCTACCTTTTTGTATGTAAAAAAGATAGACAAGCTCTAGGAATTTTAGCTCAGGAAAATGGAGGAAACCAGAGGCCAATTGCTTATTATAGTCAGAAATAAGATTCAGTAGCTCAAGTCTATTCAAAGTGTCTAAAAGCTGTGGTAGCAGCTGCTTTGATTGTAGAAGCCTCCTCCAGTTTAGTCTTAGGTTACTCACTGATTTTATAGGTCCTTCAGGCAGTAGAGGAACTACTAAAAGATTCTCAGACTCAGCATTTTTCAGCAGCAAAAGCTGCTGTTGACGGTGCATATGTGAAACCTGAAACTTCATGGCATTTATTTTCTTGACTTGGAAAGATGGGGTCCTGTCCTGGTTTCCTGGAGCTTTTCAGATACTTGGCTTGATACTTTTATTAGCATTTTTGCTCTACCTCCTAGTTCATTGTGTAGTCCCTGGGGTCTGAAAAGCTTGAGAGTGGCCATCTAAGATGAAACAATTGGTCTCTATTCATCTGGAACAACAAAAGAATAGAGAAGACTTTGGTTCAAAAGAAAAATTAAACAATATAACTAAACAGTCATGTGAAAGAAACATGATGAGACCAGAACAGCTAGATGGTGCCCAATTACACATATTGAACTTTTTGATCAAAGATTCTATAGCAGAATCCTAATCAAAAGGGAGGAATGTAAGAGCAAAACTAAATTTCTCACAGATTTCAGACTTGCTGGAATCTCTGAGAGCAATAATCCATGAATTATTACCTGACTTGCCTTCGGACTCAAAACTGAAAAAAAAATGTCCATTACCAAATCACATAGAACCTTGTCTTAGATGGTTGATTAGTAAAGTATTTCAAATAGAAGAAGTAGCTCTCTCACACAAAAATAATCATTGAATGGCATACGACATGATCAAACATGAATTGTTCTCCTAAGAGGGATATGTAATTTTTTGTTCTTTACCTAATTCACTCGCTCAAACATGAATCACTCTCCCAAAAGAGATATGTAATTTCTTGTTCTGTACCTAGTTGCTTGTAACCTACATTTGCACTGATTTTGATTATAAAAACTTATGTAAGACCCTCTCTTTGGGGGCATTCTCAACCTTGAGTAGCAAGTACTTCATCAATGATAAGAATAAACGTCAATCATTTTATAAAATTTAAGTCGATCTTCTACTAATTTTGACATATCCAACTGCTTACTTTGAAAATCTCCTTCCATGTCTTTTCTATTCTAGTGTATATCAGTGCCCACCCCAGCCCCAATTCCTTAACCTGCATGTTCTAGGGCCATAATCCCACGAAGGAGTTAGGCCGTCCACAGATATAATTACAATGAGCCTGGGCACCAGGATTCGCCTCTGTGGAACCCCCTTGGATTCCTTTTCCTGGGTAGATGAAGAACCTAGACAATAAGTCTTATCTGGAAGGTCATTTAGAGAACATTTGTCAAAATCTGACACTTTGGTTGTCACAATTAAGAGAGGGCGTGTTGCTGGCATCTAGCAGGTAGAGGCTAGCAACACTGCTAAACATCCTACAATGCATCCTACAATGAGTGCCCCCACAATAATTATCCAGGCTCCATCATCTCTCCTTGGGCTCAGGCTCTTTCTCATAGACATACATGCAGGAGGTGGAAAGCAACGGAAGGTGCTTAATAGTGTTAATAGAGCCAAGGTTGAGATACCCTAATTTATTTGGAAAAAGAATGAACAGTGCTAGGATTTTTTTCTGACGCTTGTTACTTAGACAAGTCATTCCATCTCTCTCATTTGTAATAGAGACAATTGGGAGCTCTGGTAGCATAGGGTCTAAGGCACTTGACTGCTAACCAGAAAGCTGGTGGTTCAAACCCACCAGCCACTCCTCGGAAGGAAGGTTGGGCAATCTACTTCCATAGTGATACCACCTCAGAAACCCAAGGAGGGGTTGTTGCTATGAGTCGGGTCTGACTCAATGGCACATAACAACAACAACAAATAGAGACAATTAATACTTTCATTCTCAAAAAAGAAAAGAAAAATCATCCAGAATAATTAGGAACTTAAATATACAAAGAAGAGATAGGTGCAAGAAAGACACGTTAGAAAAGATCTCACAGAAAAGGTAACTTGGAAAAACAAGTCTGAAGAAGGTGAGCTAGCAAGCCTTAGAGTTCTCTAGGCAGAAGGAACAGTAAGTACAAAGGTAGTAAGATGAGAGTGAGCCTCAAGTGTCTAAAGAACAGCAAAGAAATCATTTTCCCTGGAATGAAGTTATAGGGAGAATAGTAGGGAATGGGGTCAGAAAAGTAATGGAAAGTAAACTTTCTTCCAAATGACAATAAAAAATTAATTAATAATGTTTTTTTAAAAAAGTAATGGAAAGAAGGCTGGGTCAGATCGAGTAGGACATTTTAAACCATTATAAGCACTTTAACATTTATTTACTCAGAGTAAAATAGGGAGCAGTGGAAGTATTTGAGCAAAGAATTGACATGATCCAATGTCAACCTTGAAAGAAATTCTCTGGCTTCCATGTTGGGAGTTGATTTGGGGGAGCAAGAAATC